TCTAGGTCATGTGGCTTCTCGAAGCTCTCTTTTTTTCGTTGCAGCGTTGTCCTCCTCTTTGAATAAGTCCTTCCTCTTAATTGCTTCTCCTTCCTTTTCGTTTAAACTCGTGCGTTTTCGTTGTGGATCTTTCCCTGTCGTTCCAAGTCTCTTTTTTTTCGTTGCAATGTTGTCCTCCTCTTTTAATAAGTCATTCCTCTTAATTGCTTCTCCTTCCTTTTCGTTGGAACTCGTGCGTTTTCGTTGTGGGTCTTTCCCTGTCGTTCCAAGTCTCTTTTTTTTCATTGCAGCGTTGTCCTCCTCTTTTAATACGTCCTTCCTCTTAATTGCTTCTCCTTCCTTTTCGTTGGAACTCGTGCGTTTTCGTTGTGGGTCTTTCCCTGTCGTTCCAAGTCTCTTTTTTTTCGTTGCCGCGTTGTCCTCCTCTTTTAATAAGTCCTTCCTCTTAATTGCTTCTCCTTCCTTTTTGTTTGAACTCGTGCGTTTTCGTCGTGGGTGTTTCCCTGTCGTTCCAAGTCTCTTATTTTTTTCGTTGCAGCGTTGTCCTCCTCTTTTAATAAGTCCTTCCTCTTAATTGCTTCTCCTTCCTTTTCGTTGGAACTCGTGCGTTTTCGTTGTGGGTCCTTCCCTGTCGTTCCGAGTGTGGGTTAGCCGTGGAAAATGTGGAAAAGTTTCCGTGGGTTAGCCGCGGAAAATGTGGAAAAGTTTCCGTGGGCGGATGTCAGGCGGCCACTTGCGGCCACTTGCGGCCACTCGAGTGGCTGCAAGAGGCTGCAAGTGGCTGCCGGTGACAAGAGAATGCTGGCGGCCGCTTGCGGCCACTTGCGGCCACTTGCGGCCACTTGCGGCCACTCGAGTGGCTGCAAGAGGCTGCAAGTGGTTGCCGGTGACAAGAGAATGCTGGCGGCCACTTGCGGCCACTTGCGGCCACTTGCGGCCACTTGCGGCCACTCGAGTGGCTGCATGTGGCTGCCGGTGGCAAGAGAATGCTGGCGGCCACTTGCGGCCACTTGCGGCCACTCGAGTGGCTGCAAGTGGCTGCCATTTCCAAAATCAAATTACACGCCTCCTGCGTGCTCAATGATAATTGGGATTAAGCTGGATGTCATGTTCAAAGTGTAGACTCAGCCACCTATCTATGGGCATCCTGGAAACTGAGAATATAAGCGTCTTTTTGGCCAAATGGAGTTTACACAAGACCTGAAGAAACGAACAGAATCATGAGTCTAGATCTTGTAAAACATGATTTGGATTAATTTGGGATGTTCTAAGTGTAGACTCAGCCACCTATCTGTGGGCATCCTGGAAACTGAGAATTAAAAGGTTCTTCAGCCAAGTGGAGTCTATGCACAAGCCCTCAAGAAAAGGAACTAAATCAGGCGTCTAGACCTTGTAAATTATCATTTCGGATGTTTTAAGTGTAGATTCTGCCACCTATCTGTGGGCATCCCAGAAAATCAGAAGATACAAAGTTTCTTGGCCGAGTGAAGTCTGTGCTGAAGGCTTCAAGATAGGGAACTGAATCGTACGTCTAGATCTTTCAAGGTACAAATTAAAATGTTCTAAGTGTAGATTATCGGGGGCCTTCCTTCAGCCTGCCAGAAGAAAGGAAATATCAAGTTTTGGAGCCAAGTGGAGTCAATGCAAAAACCCTCACAAAAGGGAAATCACGCGCGATCCGCGATATGTACTAAGTGTAGACTCAGCGAACTACCTTCGGGCATCCTGGAAATTGAGAATATATAATGTTTTTCAGCCAAGTGGAGTCTACACACAAGATCTGAAGAAAAAGGAACAGAACCACGCGTCTAGATCTTCTAAAACATAATTGGGATCAAGTTGGGATGTTCTAAGTGTAGGCTCAGCCACCTATCTATGGGCATCCTGGAAACTGAGAATATAAGCGTCTTTTTGGCCAAATGGAGTCTACACACAAGATCTGAAGAAAAAGGAACAGAACCACGCGTCTAGATCTTCTAAAACATAATTGGGATCAAGTTGGGATGTTCTAAGTGTAGACTCAGCTACCTATCTATGGGCATCCTGGAAACTGAGAATATAAGCGTCTTTTTGGCCAAATGGAGTCTACGCACAAGACCTGAAGAAACGAACAGAATCATGAGTCTAGATTTTGTAAAACATGATTTGGATTAATTTGGGATGTTCTAAGTGTAGACTCAGCCACCTATCTGTGGGCATCCTGGAAACTGAGAATTAAAAGGTTCTTCAGCCAAGTGGAGTCTATGCACAAGCCCTCAAGAAAAGGAACTAAATCAGGCGTCTAGACCTTGTAAATTATCATTTCGGATGTTTTAAGTGTAGATTCAGCCACCTATCTGTGGGCATCCCAGAAAATCAGAAGATACAAAGTTTCTTGGCCGAGTGAAGTCTGTGCTGAAGGCTTCAAGATAGGGAACTGAATCGTACGTCTAGATTTTTCAAAGTACAAATTAAGATGTTCTAAGTGTAGGTTGTACCACCTACCTGCGGGCCTTGCTCCAAGGGCTCCTGCAAGTCCATACCCTCCAACTACCTGTCCGTTGCCAGGATGCTTCGGTTGCAATCATTGATGTTTGTCGTCTACCTGTAGCACTAGTTTCCATTGCTTTCAAGTATTACTGTATTTTAGTTCATGAGAAACTTCCTCCCACGGGTCTATATTCTTGCAGCCTGAATTAGTCCTGAGGTGCCATGAAGGAATTGTTCCTGAAGTTAGAAGAAAACAACCAGGTTTGTTTTCGTTGATTTGTAAGACCAAATGACAAAACGTGCAAATCGTTTGCCACGCATTCCACATCTGAAGAGTTGAGGCATCGGACTGGATTCAGCATAAATGGGAACGGGGACCTGAGCAAACAATGGCATGGGCAGGAACGGACGGTGGGTATGTATGATATGAATATGGATATGCGGCAGGATATGGACATTGATAGGAATACGGAAATACCTACGAGTTGGCTGAAAGCATTGTCTGACATTGCCCCTTCGACAATGAGGATGAGGATGAGTATGTTGTTGCCACACGTGTTGTGTTTTTTTAGACCCGTTCACAAACATGGCGACGCGCCGAAACATGAATCATCAGCAACTTTGGCATCATTTTGGGGACCGTGCATTTGCCTGATCAAAATGGAGGATGTTTAAAATACAATTTCCTATATAGTTTGAGACATCACTGATGTGAACTCTTCCCAGCCTTGCGTTCCTTGAAACCGCTGGCTTGTTGTATGTCTAGGTCAGGCATATCCATATCTCTAAAGGTGACTGTATACATATGTCCATATAATTCGATAAGCCCATGTTATTGATATATTCATATTACACACACTACATTCCACTCCACTACACTACACTCCACTACCTCTACCTAAATCCGTATATCCATTTTTTTCCATCTCCTGGGCCCTGAGTCCCACGCGAAAAAAATGAGTGATTGGAATTCATGGCTACAGCTATGGCAAACAACGTTGCGGTTCACGGGTTTGAGCTAATGCTTGGCAAATCTGCGTGCAAAAAGTTATGCAAACCACGAAAACATTTGATTTTTACCAAAAAAACACGACATTTAGACGTTCTACTTAATGCACTTCCCTCACAAGTCAAAGGCTACTCAAGCAAGCTCCATTTTTCCGGTGCTGTTGATCCATTCAATTTTGGGATCCAATTTCAGTATCCCACAAAGCAACAAGAGTTTTATGGATCGATTCGACCGATCCATATAGATTTCGACATGAAATCGAAGCCCTGTGAAAGTCAAAGCTTTGACGACAGCAAGCAAAAGCCAGAGATATGAAAAAAAATCATATAGATGATTTGTAGGGCATGGACATATCGGAGAAGGCCATTTCGGACAGATGGCAACTCTCAAGACCATGTATTGTCAAAAATCTGAACCAAATTCAAACAACTTGAAGATGAGTAGCCAGAAAGCAACAGCGTCACCAAATTTCAATGGATAACCGATGGTTTGAAAGTGCCGATGTGAAACTGACGCTGAAGGACCCTCAAGTGTAAGCAAGATCCAATGTTTTATTTCCTTTTAACCCTTGCTTTGAACAACTCACAACTCAATGAAAGGAGAAACTGAATTGCACTTCGGTGAATCGACACTCGCGCACACTCTTTTGTCCGTTGGGGTCGAAGCTCTCAATCCGCACATCCATCGCGCTCCGCACGGATGGGTAGGCTCGAAAGTTATTGGTCGAGATCGATGTCAGGCAAGGTCCCGTGCAATGTGATGTAATGATGTAGCTGCATTTGGAGGATGCAAAGAAATTGATGCTCAAGGCGATCAAGTTCGAGATGGAGATTGTCCAACGCTTGTTGGGCATCCAGCAGCGGAGTTCTGATCGAAGTCATTGCAGAGAGACGTACAGCCTGCATCTGTTGGAGAACTTGTTGCCACTGACGAAGGTGCACACGCATCTCGGCTAGTTGTTGAACAGGTTGCAACATCGTTTGCAACGAATACGTAGACATGGCTGTGTACAGCTAGAAAAGTAGTCAGTGTTGAATGCACATTAAAATGAAAAGTGATAAGGGGGCACATGCCACCTGTGGAAAACGGTATTGGCACTTGCCATTTGGAATTGTTGGGTGGGTCTGAAAGTGGTGGGACGAACAAAATTGTGCGCACATGCGCTGCTCACTTGAGCATTGAAACTGATGTCAAATGAAAATTTGTCATGTCCCAATGATGCCAACAACTCCAACTGTTGGTGTCACCGTTTCATGGAAACACATGTATATATATATATATGTATATACATATCAAGTGTGTCAAACAGGTTGTTCAAAGACGTATATGTACATGCCTGTGAATGCATGAATATACTCAAGGGTTTGTTTGAAATAAAACTGCATCAACTTCGTTGAGTTTCGTCTTATTTCCTTTTAACCCTTGCTTTGAACAACTCACAACTCAATGAAAGGAGAAACTGAATTGCACTTCGGTGAATCGACACTCGCACACACTCTTTTGTCCGTTGGGGTCGAAGCTCTCAATCCGCACATCCATCGCGCTCCTCCCCAACATGGGATGGTGTGGTGCATTGATGCCACATGGCTATCAGGTCCACCTTTGTTCTGTCAACACCTAGGTGGCTCATGACGACTTCTCTGGAGAGAATGTCAGCTGGATTGGATTGGCTGGGCACTCGCTCAATCCATGCAAGCAAATTTAGTTTCTCTTCAGAGGAACAAATGTGTTTGATGATAAGATCCATGCTGGGGTTAGTGGATTTACATTTTATCAAACACGCCTGCACCGCTTGGTTATCGGTAAAGACTATCAGGCGTTTGCCGAGCAAGAAATTAGAGAACAGGGCTATGCCGATGGCCACTGCTAACCCTTCCAGTTCGAAGATGATAGTCTTCTGGTCTTCGGCTTTGATCTTGTCCACCAAATTGGAAGGCACCGGCTCGCTGAAGAAGCACAAGCAATTCCCCGATTGGTCCAAAAGCATACCTCCCACTCCAGAATGGTTGCCGGGGTCGTAAGAGGCATCCACGTACAAGTGGACCCACTCGAAGAAGTTGGTGTCTACGAGCCTAGGCCTGTTTTGGCTGATCAGAGCCTTCAGCAGGAGCAGTGTCGAGCTGAACTCATCAGTGATGGAGACAAATCCCCTACTGATGTGCTGGTTCAAGTCTTTCAGGCAGTTGCGAAATCTTCTGCCAAACAGGTAATTCGAGGCGAATTGCAAACGGCCCCTGAAGCGCTCCGCATCACTCCTGCTGAGCTTTTTGGTTGCCTGAATGTGATCGATGAACTCCATCAGTTCGGCTCGTCTGGACGCCGTGTTGGCCAAGGCAATGACTCCCTCGGGAGTCTTCAACAGGTTCAACTCGATTCCCAAAATCTTGCAGCAGGTTTCGTACGGCACCAGCTTGTCTTCCGACAGCTTCCAACCAAGCAGCTGGAAAAATAGAGATGTGCGAGTCTGATAGCGGGACTTGCTTGTACGCTGATGCTAGGTCCCAACACTTCGCCACCAGCTCCACTTGTGATGTCTGGGCTGATGAGCACCTCAGGTACTCGGCGCACATGGCTGCAATGTGGTCCACCCCGTGAATAGACACAGCTTCTGCCTGGGTAACCGAAGAATTGACCATGCTAGCACGATAATCATCGATTGGCCTGATTTTATCTTTTTGGGCCACACCGAATCTGCGGGTCAGTGTGGCACCTTCAGGGAGGCCATCAGGATCCACAGGCCCGACCAGAAAGCCCTTGTCACATTCACTCCGAGTGGCCTCGTACACACCATGGTCCAGGCCAACATCACCTGAACTTCTTATGTTAGAGAGCAGGGCCATCCTTGCTTTCTCCGCAACACCCCTGAGAGTGTCGGTCGGAAGCTGCGCAGGGCGAAATCTCTTGGAGAATGTGTTGGACTCCGGCAGGGTGCCAGTCAAGTCAAAACCATTGCACAAGTCGGTCACGAACCGAGTATCGGTTGACCCGGACTGTTCGAGAAGCCACTGGAAGAGCACCAACCTCTTCCCTTTCAGAACCTCCTTGCGTCTGGCTGACAGGGACTGCTTCAGCTCTTCTTCGGCGGGTTGAAACTCTTTGGCCTTTGCAAGCATCATCCTAAGTGCCTCAGATCTGGTTTGGCACAGGGATTCCACTGGTTCAGTGGCTGCCCTATGAACCGCAGCAAGCATCGGAGCCGGAAGCTGAGACACTGTAGCACTGGGATGCTTCACCTCAAGTGCTTCTTTCACGAAGTCTGCTGGTGACCTGTGTACTCCAACGGTCTTAAAACCTTCACTCGCGATCTCCCCCAAGGAAGGAGTGGATAAAAGCCTAGACAGTGGGGGTATTGGCTGGTCTACTGGGATGTGGATTACTTTTTGGAATTCACTAACCATGGGTAGGGCCTTGGAGCTGCTTTGAGACCAGGTGTCGTGCCTAATTTGTTCTAACTGTAAGGCTTGTTCGGCAAAACGTGGGGTTTTGCTAATGACACCGAGATTTTGCAATTGCAAGGCGACCTGGGCGGCAATGGCCCGGCAGAGTGCCCATGGATACGCTGTTTCCAAAGAAGTAGCCCAGCCTGTGGGTGTTTGTCCCCACGGTTCATGAGGATGGCTATCATCACATCGGCATTCGAGCGTTTGCAAGCAGGCAATATTATGGATCAAAAGGGTAAATTTTCGCCTAGAGCTACCAAACTGGCAATGGTGGAACCGAGTTTGGAAATGGGGAATGTCAGCAAGGAATTTCTTAAAATGCTTGGTATCCCACATGAAGCTCCGAGCCGGGTTTTCAATTGAAAATAACACGCCTGCATGATGACATTCACGGCAGAGCTGCTGGGTAAGATCATACAAATGGTTTGCTGTATCGACCCTCAACTTGAGCTCTGGTGGCAGGTCGGGGAGACCATCTGGAAAAGCATCGGTTCGAACAATTGGGGGGTTATATCGCCCCTTTCTTTGGATGAACCTGGCCCTGGATGATGTGCCGCAGGGTGGTGCAAAATGCACATAGATGCAACGTGGATCACGAATTAAGGTCAAAACATATTGGAATGATGCTGGCACTGTCAGATCTAGAGAAATGACTGGTCCACTGACTTTGGGGTGGATCTTATGGTCAATTCCGAAGGAGTCACGAATGCCTAGCTGTCGCAAAACTGCTGTGAGGCGGGCTGTCCCGGCAAAAATTTCCACACAAAAGAGGCTATTGGCGTCTTTGCCAGCGAAACGGTTCTGTACAGGAGAAGTACCGGCATCTGCTGGCGAGTGTGGATGTGGTGGCTGTCACGAATGATCACGAAGACTATGTGGCTTCTGGCAGCCAGGTTCTGCGCAGAGGTGGAGCCCACGAGAGCACTGCCCACCAGCTGCAGCCTCGCGACAGCCCGTCGCCATATTGAACGGCCAGCATAGCCGTTGTCCGTCAGGTCCTTCCAGTGACTTGCCGATGAGGTCTTTGGGGACATTCGGCCCGCGGCCTCTTTTCTTGCTTTTGGTCTTTCCTTTGCCTTTGCCTTTTGATGGCGGCTTAGATGGGACGGTAGCTGGCATCCCCATATCCTCAGCCTTTCGTTTGTTCGGATTGGCTTTGGGAGTTGGCTTGGCTGGAGCACCGTGTGCTAAAGGCAGCAAATGGAAACTCACGGCTGGTTTGGACAGAACGGTGGGCAGCAGCTTCTCGAGCGGAAGTTCGCCTGCTGCATCTCTTTTCAAAGATGTGATGTGCTCGGCCATGAGAAGGAAGGCTGCCCTGTCGGCACGCAAAATCTGGATCAGGGATGTGTTGCTATAGCCCGGTGGGGGCGTCTCTTGCAGGTGCTGGAGCAACTCGCTCTGATAGCTGTTGAAAATCTCGTACTTGCAAATGCCCACCAAGTCAAAGGTGAGAGCCCTGCGTCTCATGGCTTGGAAAAGTTCCAGTTCTGTCTTGGTTGAGCAAGTGAGCTCGCTCTGCTTGTCCTTAATGGTGAGAGCATTTTGATCCAAAACGATCTCTTTGCCTGGTTTCTTCTGGAGAAGTTCCAAACGCCTGGTGATGAAACGTTCAGGAGCAAGGTAAATAAGGCTGTCACGCTCCATCATGGAGAACACCAAATCGTAATTGCTGTGGGCGCATTCTTCGTCACCTCGAAAACGAAGGCCATGGAGACGAGTCTGCTGGTCCCTCAGGCGCCGTTCTCGTTCGGCGGCAGGCAGATTGTTGTGAACATTGATCTCATCCTTCTTGGTGATCTCGTTTTTGATGTTAGCCACCACAAGAGTGTGGGCCTCGAAAATGAGGAGTTTCAGCGAAGAGATCGTGGCCAAGTTCACTGCCACCTTTCCTGCGAAAAACTCTTTGATGGCGTCGTCACTGGGCGATGTGCCAGGAGGGCTGATGGCAAAGGCTAGTTGTGCTAGAGACCTGACATTGTTGTCTATGATCGCTTCAACTTCCTCTGCACTCAAACCGGCTTTGGTGCCTCGGTGCTTGAGTGCATCGGTGGAATACACCAAGGACGCAGCCTCTCTTGGAGGGGCAGCCATTATGAAGCGGGTGAGTGGTGCTCAAAGATCTTGCTATTGTCAGTGATGTGGACACTGCTAATGGGACAAACGATATGATGTTGATGTGTGTTCCCAAGCTGGTTCATCGTAACACTGTCTTGTTTCATATGTGTTCATCTGACACAAACATGAGGTATATTGAATGCTTTGCCAAAACTGCGGTTTAAAAATCACACATGTGATATGGCGACTTCACTCTGAATCGCACAAGAGGCGAAAGTGAACTGACTCTCACACTTGTGAGATTGATTGTTCACTCATCCGCGGTGACACATGTCAAAAACCGCTTTTCCCTTCTTTTTCCGCAGTGAAGGTCACAGCTCACCAATGGCTCTTTGGCATCTTTTGCATTTCCTAGTTTCAAGGAAGGCTGTCTCTTGTACTGCCACATGCTCACTGGAAGCATGGATGCCGCACTCAAATTGCCTCGTCTCGGCTACAGATTCCAAATGAACCACTTTGCTAGTGATGTGCTGATACATTTTGCCGTTGCCCCAAGATTGCTTGTGGCTAAGGTCTTTGCCAAGTTCACACACCCTTGAATCGTGATTGTCCTCTTCTGAGTCTGAGGAGCTTGTCGATGCGCTTGAGCTGCTGGAGGAATCAGATTTGTTGTCTGGCGAGCCCGACTCGTTGTCATGCGGGCTTGGACCCCCTTCAGGGGGCTTGGGGGCCCGGCAATCCTCCTTGATGGCAGCCTGGATCATTCCGGAACGCGTTCGGTCCGGCTGCAAAGCACCGACTCGAATCTGTCTCAAAACCTCCTCCAACGTTCTGAGTGGGGCAGCCAGGCAATCCCGGGAGTATGCCTCTAGCGACCCACGGCCAGAGCTGTGGTGTCCCAACACCAAACGGTGCTCACCATTTGCACCTGCCTTCGCTAACCACGATAGCGCAGTGCACTTGAGACTGTGTGAAGTAACTCGGTCAGTCACCTCTCCAGCTTTCGCCAAAATGGCATTCAGCCATTTGGTTGCTTCACTGGAGGTCACAGACCTCATGCCCCACTTCCCGGTCTTCAAAGGTGCCGGCAACACAGGACCCTTGTAGGCTTCTGAGAAGTCAATCTCGGCTTCCTCAGCAACTGCTTTCCATGACAGCCCCCAAGGCGGCGATTCGAGCCCCCAGATGGGTGACACAAGGGGCAAAGGAAGCCCATGTTTCGCAACCTGGGCAGCCGTCTTGTGGTTGAAGGTCGCAAAGCTGATGAAACCACATGGAGTTGAATTGTCGATGGCAATGTCCAGCTCGAAAGAGTCCACTGACTTCAGGTCTGACCAGCGGCATCTGCCGAAGATAGCAAAAAGGAAGACCCCAGCAGCATACCTGTCGAACAAGTTCATGGAGGTGTCGTTCAGGCACGCCTCCAGATGGCACACTTCCTTCACTGTCAGAGGCCTCGCCTGCTTGCGCCCAGGACGGCTCATAGCTGCCTTGTCCAATAGTCCACGGGTGAAGGAATCAATGATAGGCTGTCCAAGAGCCCTGGTTGGCAAACCGAGAATGTGGATTCCAAAATTGACTGCTTCCGTGAAAGATCTCAAGGCACTATACGTTGCCCCGTCCTGGTGCGACTCCCAGATGTATTCAGCTATGTCGCTGGGGGTGAACGGCAGAGGACTTTTCTGATAGAAGAACTTTTGGTGCCATCTGCAATACTTCCAGAGATTGTTGGTTCTCTTTAGGACTGTGTTGCAACTGCGGGATCCACACAACTCTCGAATCCTCTTGAAATTCCCGGCCATGTCCGCTGGGTGCAAGTCAAGTCCTACTGGTTTTGCCTCTGGGCAGCAGGTGAATATTGTATATAGTTTTTCCAAAACTCTTGCCCATTTGGCAGCATCCAGTTCGTGATCGCTGAGGCCGTGGCTGAATGAAATGGCCCTGTCGTAAAGTCCATGGATGTATTGACTGCACTTCTGTCTTTTCCCAGATGGTTGTTCTGCCAAACGTTCGTCCAAAACTCCATCCGACCTGTTCACAGAGATGGCTTGTGTCGGTATTGGGATCTCAGGAAGGGAGCACAGAGGTTCCTCACTGAAAATGGCTCTGAAAATGCCCTGCTCCCAAGGGAGTTCCAGGCCAGCCCCAACTTGCGCACTCAGGATGCTCTGATTGACGATCTCGTCAAAGGTCTCCAGTTCTAATCGAGTGGGGGCAGGTCCAAGTGGGCCATCGTCAAATGAAGCCGTGTTGACATCACCGGCCAAAGGGCTGGCAACCGTCACATGGCTCCCGAAAAGATCAATTGATTCGACATCGGAAAAACCTCGCGGAGAGTCCCGCTTGGCCATTGGTCCATGCTTGGTGCCAAACAGCTGAAAAATAAATGATGGCATGTCTGTCTGCTTGAAGCATGAGCGACAGCTGTGATCCTTAAAAATATCATCCATGTGTTGTTTCAGCCAACGGTTTTCTCCAATTCGAGACACGTCTGCTCGTTGGCGTGCAACTACGAGGAGCTGGTCTGGCAAAGTCAGCCTTCAATCTTCCAAACAACAAATAATGGTAGCCACAGTGATCTGGACGTCCCACAGGAAACAAAAAGTGGGATGAGCCTGCTGTTGTTCAAAACGGTCCATCATCAAATCGACCAGGTCGGCCATTGCCCTACAGTGGTTCCCAAAATTTGGTCCCGTTTGGCCCTTCAGAATGCCAGGGTCAGCGCAAAAACGCAAAGGGATGTCGGGACGAACCAAATCGGTGAGGAAATCTCTGGGCTCTCTGGTTCTATCGGACAAGTGGTAGCGCTTAGCGCACTCCACTTCCATCAAGAAATCTACCAGCCGAGAAATCATTGTAGGCGTACCCATATGTACGATAACTTCCCTAATGAATGATTC